ACTTGACTTCATGCTGCTCCAATAAACTTGTATTTCTTTTACCTTACTGATGAAGATTTCCTATATCCTACACAAGCTGCTAAAGACATCACAGACTATTTCTCGGTATTTATGAGGTTGGAGAGGCAGGAATAATAGGGCACTTGAAGCTTGGTTTGTGTAACAGCACAGCTGTTTCAGATTTCATCAGTACCTGGTTGAATCTAGAAAGAACCAGAGAAGGTAAAGACCAAAGACCCAGTCTCAGGTTTTGGTCACATTTCAACTTGACAGTTATGTCAAGATATTATCTGTTTTCTGAGACTAACCACTGTGGAAGCAGCATGTTCCCCTCCCTGCAAGCGGACTGCAGGTGAATTAGTGCCAGCTGCACCTGACTTCTTACCACCAGCACAAGCCATCCTCCACTTGGGTTTGCCTGAGGAGAGTGTTCACCCTTTACTGCTCAGTCTAATTACTGACTCAGACTAACGGCTCATTACTGATTCAAATTGCTCAGTCTACTGGCTGCACAACTAGGCCATTAACATTTTCTAGAGGTAAGACTATTGGAAACCAGCAGGAATAGAGCCACACAATGGGCCAACTTGCCCACAACTGCAGCAGAGATTTTCCCTACAATGAAGCCTGTATTTAAGCCCATCTCTTGCAGTTAAACCCACAAAAAGGAACCCAGTTCTAGATGCTTAATTGATGAGAATTTTAAGTTGTTCATCTTAGGTTCCTTAAATTGCTTCAGTGTTTTCTTGTAGACTGCAAACTCATTGAGCAAACCTTTTCACAACTCTATACAAGAGTCACGTCTACATGTAAAATAGCAAATGTAGAACGAACTCAACACAGGCTTTGCGTTCTGTGGGGCCATCAGAACTTACATTTCACCAACATCACTGTACCTGTCCTGGGTTCAGGGAATTGCAGCTGCTATTGCCAGCTTTTGCAACAGGGAAACAAAGCAAGTCAAAACAGGCCTAGAACTTTATACACTGCAAGAGACTTCATGAAAGAAAAAGGGAGTTCATCCCACTCAAGGCCCTTCATGACTGACACAGAGTTTATCCAGCCCATATTTACCCTGCACTTGTATGATCTTTTAATCCCAGATTAAAGAACCAAGCTTCCTTTCCCATTTCCTTCATTCAGTTGATTTTAAAATGGTATCAACACCTCTCACACAGTCCAGAACAGTTAACAACCACTAACTAACCATCATCCCCCCTTAACTCCCCCCTTCCCCCTTCACACATTTCCAATTTTTTAATTCACTTGGTTTCCAGTTTTAAGAAGGAAGACCAAGTGACTTTATGGAGATAAGCAACGACATGGCTGCTTTCTACATCCCTCTGTCCCTTAACCAGCCTACTTTTAAGCTTGGTGACTGCAAAAGACACTACTCATGGCTGCAACATGATAAATCTGTAGCTTTGAGATCCTAAAGCCCCAGCATTCCTCAGATAAAGAAAATAAAGGTTTGTTTTGTTTCGTGTTTGCTTGTTTTGTTTCAAACGTGTGGCACAATGTCACTTTGGCTGGAAAGGAACATTCTGCATTCTTTAGGCAGGGAAGAATCCAGTCATGTTGGCTCCAAGGATGCCTTTCACTGCTTCTTAAAACATTAACAACCTCCCAGTGGGAGAGAGGGGGCAGATCTATCACTCTAGGCAACAGTGTGCATCTTCCAAGTTGCTCAGGCCTTTCAAACTAAGCAGCAACTGAAGTAAATTAGTGTAAGAATCTCTTTACATGAGAGGATTATACAAGGAACAAGTGGAATAAGGAACAGACAGCAACAGAAATCTGCAGGTTTTATAACCTAATCTCACCCAAGAATAACTGTGTTCCCTGACAAAGGTCCTGGAAACTTGTTCTCTACTTGCAGGCTGAGCTGCAAAGTCCATACACCAAGCATGTTCTGGAGAACCTGGGTTTCCACCCCACCTCATATGAACATGCCTCCATCTCCCCAGGCCCAGGCCTGCTCTGCCTTCCAGCAACAGAACAGTTCTTAGACACAGAACAAATCAATACATCCTATTTTAAAGTTTTAAGTTTGGTGCCAATTTAATTTGATTTAAGTTACATTACAGGGCAAATTGTATGAGTAGCTGGCATTGCATCATACAGCAATAGCAGTAATGTAAACATGGGCAACCAGAGCATGGGATTTAAAAATAAAAAGGATTTCTTGCCAGCACTCTTGCTGTTCTGTACAGAAAGCTCCACAGGGCCACTTCTCGAACTACATGCCAAGCCATATGACTATAAAGCCATTTCATTTTCTTTTCATCAGTAGTAAGAGAGCCTGTGAGTGGAATTGCATGTTATCTCACATCTTCTAGTGACTCCATCATACCTATTGACCCCTAGAAATTAGGGCTAAACAGGACGAAAAAGAGGCCAAAACATTTGGAGAAAGAGTTATTACCAATAACCAGCTTTTTCTCCCTACCACATTAATTTGTCTCTTCTAAAGGAGAGCTAATATGCTAGTAAAGTCTTCATTTATTACCCAACGGCTTAAGCCTACTCATCTGCACTAAGGCAGAGCAGCCTTCATCCAAAAAACTATTTTGCCCTGAAGACTTGAAAGGCACCAGCATCATGCAAAGTTTATTAGCTCCATATTTTACATTCCTGTATGAGTGGGATAAAAGAAATAACTTCTGAGAGCCTTAGCTATTCCTTTTCCTCCTGTAAGCACCTATTCTGTGCCAGATAATGCTCTTTAACTCAGAGACCTTCATCCAGGGATGGAGAGAGGAGTCTGCTGTGCCATGGGAAAAGTCCAAAAGCTCCCGAGTCACATGGCAGTTGCCCAAAGTGATGTCAGAAGTTCCAAGATGTACCTCTACAACAGAAGGGTCATCATTGACCCAGTTCCTGCTGGAGCCCTTCTCATCCTGCCCTTTTTGTCATCTTGCAAAAGGCAGACTTTGCAGAAAGAGCGTGAACACTCAGCTAGAATGGATGTTTATATGCATGCTGGCTAGTCATCAGTCTTCAGAGAAGTCAGACCTCCAGCAACCACACTGCTTCAAGGAAGCTAGGCTGTTCTTCCTTCCAACTTCATTAAAAAAGGACTCAATACTGGAATTCTGAATCAAGGTAACTTAAGAAAAAACACTGATAAGAAAGCTAAATTCATGTTTAGATTAGGCATTTAGCACTAACTGAAAAGGTAATGCTAAATCCATCAAATTTTAAACCAAATAATTTCAGTTTCTAAGAGCCCTCTTGATTTAAAAAGACCTATTTAACAATTGCTCACAAGTATTTTTCTAACATGATGAAGAAAGGCCAAAGTGGCTTGTGCAGGGGGTTCCAACAGGTATGAACAGATTCAGAATTTGAAGGGAGAGAAAGTTTACATGATTGCTCAAAGCATGCTGGCCCAAAGGGAAACATTCTCCCTTTCTTGACAGCTACTCCATAGGATGTTTCCCCAGCTACGTGACGCAGCATACATTCTTGGAACAGGATGCCACAAGCAGCACCAAGGAGAATCAATTTATGTTACAAATTTTAGATAATTAATTCCATTTACAGTTCTCTTTTTTTGCATGTTCCAACCTCTGAGTTAAAGAGAGTGAAGTAGGAAAAAGAAGTTCAGATGTTTTCCCGTTTTGCTCCTGTTTCTCATGAAATCCATTGTCAGCTGATTCTAATTCTAGAAGAACAGATCAGGACTACTCAGGTAGGAAGCCTACAAACAACCCCCACTCAAAAATAATGCAGATTTCAAGAGCTACTTGATTTGCTTGTATTTCAGGCTAGACTGGCAATGACTGCATTAACAGAACGGTAACAATGCATTCAGGTGCCAATTATACATTAACATGTAATTACAGGTTTACAGAGACATATCCTTATCTAAAATAAGAAAGCACACTTCAGCATTGTTTTAACTAAGTAGTTTTCCCTGCATCTATTTTCTGCCTACCTTTTCCTAAACTATGATACACGACCATAGACTGGAGAGTGGATGTGTACAAAAGTCATCACGGCTCTGCACATAGCAATCTAATTCCCATTAAGTGTTTTCAGGACTGGATTGACACTCCCAGCATGGAAGAAGTCCTTCAAATTAAAGTGTTGGTATCAAAATAGGCATTTCCCTGCCTTGAAGTGTCAGGAATAATTGGCTTAGAGAGTCAGCAGTAAAAATCCCACTTCAGATATCAAACCAGGAACTTCTCTCAGGAAACAGCCTTCACCCTCACCAGCAGGAGTGAGGATGCATTCAGTGCTGTTTTCCTGTAATAAGGAGACAAAGACAAATGTTGACTCTGAATGGGGGTTAGAGAGGAGAAGGGTTGAAAAATCAGGGTGTGTAGAAGGCATAAAGACAAACTTGACTACTCCTCAATGTATACTTCAGTGGTCACCCCTCTCAAGACTATTTCAATGAATGTAAATCAGGGGACACAGAGAAAGAAGGGCTATAAATACACACAGAAGGAGAACAACAGTACATCTAGTGCCTTGCTCAGTAAAGGCAAGGACTGAAGAAAGGAGTGTAAAGGAGGAGGACCAGTGCCTAATGCACAACAGTGAGGTTTCTAAGCACAGAGTTGAATCCAGAACTGCTCCAGCTGCCCAGAGGGTTTTATGCTCTGTTAAAAAACCCACCTTTCAATGCATATAAAGTCACAATCCTAGTGTACAAGTCATTGATAGCCTTCCTAATCTCAAGGGATTACACTGACAAATGCTCAGTAGTTAACTTCAAGGTGAACAAGCAGAGGTTATTCCATGCCCGCCACCCCTATGGGAAGCTGTACTACATCACATACTATATATATCTCAGCTGATGAGCAGAGCAGACCACACCATTTTCTACCGCACAGGGCAATGCACAAACAGACTGCCATCTTATTCCTCTTACTGAGGGGGGAGGTCTAAAGGCACATAAACCCCCTCACACACTGAGTTATCTCAAGGGACTTGGCTGGGCAGCTGCTAACAGAAAACAAGTTGCTGAAGCACAGGACTCCACTCACCTTTCCTTCCGGAATTACCCTGGCTTGATGGTTTATCAGTTACAGAACCTAAAGGGGAGGAAAAAGAAAAAGGCATCTATTTAGATGCTGCACAATCACACGGAACATCTAATGTCACATTAATACAGTCAATATTTCAGCCCACAAAGTGTCTGTTTTACTTGCCAACAGCTCAGTTGAAGATTCAGAGCCTGTGTTTCAACCACCTGGGATAGAATAAGGAAGTTTTATGTGTTAAAATGTTAAATCAGGATGAGGGTAAACAAGAAATCTTTAGTAGCTGGTTCCAGTGATTTGAAAGAGCTCAGAGCAGTGCGCTAGTAAGAAACCTGGAATAAATCCAAGGGCAAGAAGGAAAGATCAATAGAAGTCACTTTTCGTTTGCAAATGTCAGGAAGAACAAATCAAAAACAGGTGGGGAGAGTGTGCAGGGAATGCAAGGGCAGTATTCTAAAGGAAAGGGATTAAGTGGGACAATTTGCAGAAAATGGATTTCAACAAATGCCTGAACATCTCCAGCTGTTTGAAAAGGGACACTGAATAAGATCCAGCATGTACTTGAATAGAACACATCTCAGGTTTTTTAATATAACTTAGATCTTCACACTATCTATATGATTCTAAACTTGTTTCTGCAGTTTGCTTCGGTGCTTCATCACACAGTTTTCCACTAAAACTTGAACTGATAATAAAAGCTTTTTGAACAAATCAATTACCAAAGTGTATAAAAATCTATGATAACCTTTTGTCTTCTTTGTTTCTTTTTTGAAATACCTTTATTCTCAGGAAACTGATTCTTCTGTGCACCATTACTAAACAGTTCCAGCAATTACTGACTCTTCAGGAAACATGGATCAAAAGTCAGCTCCAAAAGGAGGCAGCTCTGACAGTCCCAAGAGTCTGGTCAAGACAAATCATAGACAAACTCTATTGTCCAGGCACTTTCACTTGCAGATCAGTTCATCACAGATCTACTGGTGAGTTTACAAGTAAGAAGTACATACCCAATATTAGTTGTCACAGGCCTAACATGTGCATGTCCTACACTACACCATGAGTTTATTTTCCTAGTAACACAATTTTATAAAGAGCTTAATGAACAGATCAGCAAAACTCTAAAACATGCCCTAGCAACACCATATACTGGGAATGGTGGAAGAGAGTCATATTCTAAGGTTTAAGCCAAATTACTGTAACTATTCGCATTTGCTTTCCATGTACCTGTGAAATACCAAGCATCCCCTCAAGCTACACTACATTGACTCAATGGTTCCCAGACAGTTCTCCCACTCAGCTCAAACCCTCATGCAAGTCACTATGTTTGCTTATTACCACAGAACACACTACAGCCAAGAGGACCCTGAATAAGGTGAGAAGGATTAAAAAAAAAAAAAAACAAACCAAAACCAAAGGTTTGACTGCTGTCATGCATCCATCTAAAGGGCAAACACTGAAAAGTGTAAGAGGAGAAATACATTAAACACCCATGGGGAGCAGATTGCAGAGCATGAAGCCAGAGGCAGCAGCAGTGCTTACACTGCATCACTGAACATGTTAGAAACACACTCTTATGCTTGCTGTCTTTTGTTCTTATTTTGAGGTGGGCTGGGGGAGTGAGGGGAGCAGCACAATTCTAGTGTTGCCCCTGAATTCTCCCAACAGCATGGAATAGTCTCCCACCCCTCCCTGTGCCTAGTGTGCTGCTGCCACAGCAGCTGTGTTCACCACGGCTCACAAAGCTAGATTGTACACTAGTGATCAGGGCCATATGAAAATCTAGAGCCCAACCTCATCCCATCTGAGCCTTGCACTGACATACTGAATGGTGTGGAAAAAAAGAAAACAGGATCAATCTGTCCAGTAAACCACAGAGTGACAAAGCAGTGTCAGGCTGAGTGCCCAGAAGCACATCGCTTAATAAACCCATGAGTAACAGGTCTGGCTCTGGACCTCCCTCTTGTGAGCTGTGGTGCAAGCCCAGTGCTGTCCAGCCCCATGACACAAACATGGGGATCCTGGAACTGAGCAACACAGTCAGAAGACCCAAATCCATTATACCAGCAGGACCCCGGATTTGGGGGCTAGCAGTCGACAACAACCAGTTTCTTACAGAACCACCTCATCAAACTTTTAACTGAAGTCACTGAAAGCAAAATGACTCCATCACCCATGAAATACAGTCTGAGAACCACTTTGTTAAAATACAGCTTGTGGAAAAAGGTTACCCCATCTGTTACAGAAATCTCTGGTTTCAGTGTTCACAGCAACACTCTGACTCTTGCCTTGGCTACTACAGGCTGTTACCTCAGTGATTTTTCTCAGTAAGCCTTGCAGGAGTGTCTTTACCCTAACTGCGGGGTGGACATGCCACAGTCAAAGCGCTCTTGCAGCTTCCAAATGCCAGCAAACACCCAGGAAAATATAAGCACAGCTGCAGTGTTAAATTGGGTAAACTGGCCAAGTCACCTGAAAAGATTAAGCATTCTCAACAGGATGCATTCTCCCCAACCCCCTCCAGTTATCAAATTAGTATTTGTTGAAGCCACTCCCACAGTACCTGAACATACAGGAGTTTTGTTCTGTACAGAAGAGCCGCTAATAGGCTTGCCATCAGGTGTCACACACCAGCAGTATCCAGTGTAGGTATGGCACTGCACCTGTTTAATAAAACAAAGAGCAGGCATTTCATTTCTCACTCTATCACCCACTGCTTTTATTACAATCCAGCATCTTAGTGTAAATCCCAACCCAGATGCACCACAAACATATGCTTCTGAGTAAAAAGGTCACACAGAAGAGTATCTTCAATATCATTATCTTTTCTTTCTCCCCTCACCTCCCTCCCCAAAGAAAGGTTATTCCTCCAACTCCTTTAGCTGCAGTTCAGGAGGCAAAAATGTTATAAGTAGTCAGCTGAGAACACTTCAGTTTGGGGATGCATCATTTGTGCCTCAGCTCATTCCACCTTCTGATAAATCCCATTTACTATTTACCATTAAATAGTTGTCCCACTGCAACCCAGCAGGGATATGGAAAGGCCACCTTGGCCCAGTTCCCCAGCTGCTGCTTGAGAACCACATCTGTGGGCATTTCGAGAGCATTTTGTTCAGTAAACATGACTGCAAAAACACAACACTAACTTATGTTAACAAACCTTCTCCAGACAGATTTAAGGTCTCTCCCATTACTATGTCAACCCAGGCAGTAAGAGCAAGATCCAACATGCTTGCTCTTTATGTATTGACAAGGACTTAAGAACATTTGATGAAGGCTCTAATGAGCCAAAAGGTACACAATATAAGACTCACCATGCTTAACTTTAAAGCTCTACTTCTGAACTAAACATCTAGAGTTGCCCAGTTCCATCCTTCACCATGGAAGGACACCAGAATAACTAGTTCATATGTGGACCTCTAAAGTGAAAACAGATAAATCAATCTAGCAGACTGGTCTTAGTAACATCTAAGCAGATATTGCTTCAATGGTACTATAGTTTCAGCCAACTTAACAAATCTAATTACAGCCTTTGCCTCAGCTTTCAGAGAGTGGTCAGCATTTGGATGAAATTTGGGATGCTTTTCACTTCCCTTGAGACAAAAGTAAATAATCATCATACAGGCATCTGTGTAAATATTAACAGGTTCCAAAATCTTTTTTAATAAAACACACTTTCAGCTGTGGTTAGGTGTGCACATCAGCACTTCCAGCATCTTGAAATGGTATAGAAATACCTTTGTTACTACAAGCTAGAGATGGCTCCTTCAATATGTTTCGGGAAAAAAAGCCATGAAATTAGATCACTTCAGACACTGCCTTATTATTTTACTTGTAAACTGAATTCTGCCCATTCTCCCTTTTTCCAAACAAGTTCATTGAAGCCAATATCCCATTCCAGTCCTCACCACACAGAAGAATGATGGGGTGTTTGCGCCATTCCCTTCATTAGGGAACCTTCAGAACTAAGCCAGTCATTCCCCCTTGCTGACAGCTGGCTTCGATTCCCTAAGGTAGCAGAGTTTGTTCAGAGAGTTAATGACAGTCTTTTTAAAAGGCTTTGAGTATCCCATAAAACATGATCTAAGAGCAATTATAACACGGTACCACGTGTTTATCTTGGGTTTTAATAAAGTGCAAATCAATCATTTTGCCTCAAGCAAGTTCACTTTTAGTAGCCAAAATCAACAATAATCTCATGTACCCATGTTACTAAAGTCATTGTCACTGCTATCTGCACAGTTTCATTTTTATTTTCTCTATCACAAAATTGATTTCAAATTATTCAAAAGTCCTATGAACATAATTGGCAATAATCACATTGAAAAATATTTCTTATCGTTCAACCTAATCAATTGCACATTCAAAACTAGTGTTATGGAACTGGTTGGGTTTGTGTTTAGTGTTTATCTTTGCTGATTCACACACACATTACTGCATTCCCAACAGCACAAGGAGCTATCTTTAGATCTGAGAATTGAAAAAATCTTACCCAGAGATGAAGACAAGTTCCAGTATAGGGTCTTGAATTCACAGGGCAAGGTCATTCCATGTTACATTACAGAAAAAATCCAGCGTACCCAGCATTTAAAAAAATTTAAGTGTTAGTGACCTGACAGTCCTTCAGCCAAGTCCTCAGGAAAAAAAAAATTACATTGCAGAGGAGTCCAAAAAATGTACTGACATAAATTTAGGATAGATGCATTAACTAAGAGCATGTTATGCAACTCATCTCAGTGAAGAGGTACTCATTACCTACACTCATTTACGCAAGCCAAGCACATTACATCTATAAAAGCAAAGTAATTTTATAAATAACTAAGCTAAGAAATCTCAGATTGACAGCACTTTTGCAACCAACTACTTCTGGTTCTACTGCAGCACCAAAGGACCTCCCTGCTATGGATAATAGCAGCAACTAAATCTCAGTCCTTGTCCTAAAGGCCAAACAACCACCCATGAAGAACAGACACCTTGGAAGCCTCAAAAATCACTCAGTTGGCTCTCCTAGATGTCTTCATAATCACATGAGATGCTGAGAGATGCTACCTCTCACCATGATACCTGAACCAGGTCTCAGCATATTTAGGTGTCATAACAATAGTGGCCTACAGCCTAGAGTTTGCAGCTGGGAAAGAAAACCTGGTAAATTTTTCAGTTACATCAAACTGCTATGGCATTTAAAAAAATGTAAAGGCCATAGTTGATCCAGCACCATTTCGAAACAGTGTGTGTAAACACAAACTCTGCAAAGTGTCAACTATTCCAGAGCACATATAGCAAGAAATCTTGAAAATTCGGGTTTTTAACTTTAAATTTTTCCCATGAGTTTCCAAAGATCTTAGGTTTGAGTTTGTTTCTAAATTCCATTTAAATCTCCTACCTGAAATTCAACCTTATGCTAATCATACTCTCATAGTAGCAAGATTTTTAAATACTATTATAATCAGAAGAGTAACAGTGTAAAAATGACGTCTGTTTACTGCAGAGATCTAATCTTCAGTTACTGAGTTAATTTGAGCTGTATCAACATACATGTTAGAAAAAGTGTGTTTGACATTTTTGGCTCTCAGTCTTCTAAAGTTAAGCATTGTGTCAGAGAAAATACATTATCAATTTTATACACAAAATAAACTTGATTGCTAACCAAACTTCAGCTACATAACACTCATTACTGCTGGAAAAGCACATGACAGATAGAGTTTGACATCTCAAATTAAGAAACACCTGTCCAACAGCTGAACATTTTAAGTTACATAATAGGGAATCAGAGAAATAAAACCTGCAAATCATTTTTTGATTTGCAGGTTTTATTTCTGGCTACCCAACAGATTCTCCATTAACATCTACACTTTCAAAAAAACCAAACTGTAGTTTAAAGCCCTGCAAGCACCCAAATCCCTGATAGTGCAAGACGACTTTGTTCCTATTTTTCAGGGGTAAGAGATAAGTCATCTCAACTGTGCCTCAATTGAAGGGTGAAAAGCACGAGGGATAAGCCCAACAAAAATTGCTCTTCCACCATTGCCCAAATTAAGAGGGTAGCAGCAGCTCCTCTATTCCCCCCTGCCATTACGTGTGAAATGAAACAGCAGCTAATGTACTAGTCACTGGCCGCATGGATAAACACCTGTTCTCATCAAGTTAATTATAATAAAAAAACATTGAAAGTGTAGTCACTGACAGACAACTCTGCCTCTTAATTTCCTGAGGGAAATAATGCTGCAGTTTGGGTTTCTTCAGTATATCACTGTCAGTGCCAGACCAGATTCCCAAGCAGTCCAAAGCTTCTCAAAAAGCAAGCAGCAGCATCCCTTCACAGCCATTTGACAAATGAAGATCAAGAGGTTGTTTCCAAAAGGTAAACTGGAAATGGGAAAGAAATCACATGCTCATGCATGAGGGAGAGAACAGGGGCAAAGCAGTAATTCTGTGATGGCTGAAACCAGTCTCTACAGAGTTATAGAAAGAAGTTTGCTTGCTGTCAGAGGCTTGAGAGTGCCTTGGGCAAACACTGGGCTGAGCACAGGAACAGCAATACTCAGACTAGCCTTTCACTGCTGTTCAGATGAAGAGTTTGATAACCAATTCCTATCCCATCACAGATCAGACAAACATTTCCTGGCTCCTTCCATAGTGGAGGGCAGAGAAGAGAAGGGAAGAACAGTTCTTCTGCATTCAAAGCATTACTTCTGTGAAAGAAGAAAAAACACATCCGAGTTTTTGAATGGCACTGCTGAGGGTGAGGGCAGGCAGCAAAGCTATTACCCACATGAGGCAAGGCTCCAAACCCTGGGTGCACCCAACTGCTTCTGGTAAACACTGTAAAAACAGCTAATTAAACTGTTCCAAGCCAGTAGGTCATCTGGCCTGACCCAGAGAGCAGAAGCTGCAGTGTCACACAGCAATTCTTTAATCAAGCCTTTCCTTTGTTTGAGGCCACTGAGGCTCCTCTAGAAAGTCCTCTGAATCCAAGTTACAGCACACAATCAGCACACTGGCCTGATGGCTATTTATCCTATCTCTAAGTGGTGATGCCTCTGTACTGGTTTCAGTGCCCTGCTGTACTGCATAGACTCTGGATGTTGTCATACTTCCTGCTAGATTAAGAATCAACTGACTGCTGTCAGAAGCCTGCCTTTGCCCCTTACAGACCAATTCAGGGAGCTGTGAATTAGTCTGCACCTTAAGTTTGAGCTTCTTTGGGACGGTAACCCCTTTAATAATTTTTGTCACTTTTTTTGTTCACATTTAATTCTTTCCAGATGATGTTGTACAGACAAATATTCCCACCAGGGCTTTATGCAGCAGCCACCTCCCTCAAGTCTATGCACCACTGAAGAAATGCTTGCTCCACAGGAACTTCACTATTCATATAACCAGGGGAAGAAGAGATTTGTGGCAAAAGAATCTTAGCCACAGTGAAGGGCATTCCCAACACACACTGTGGCACAGATACCATTTTTAGCTCAGGAGAGGGATCCCCAAGAGAAGCTCTGCTTCTGACACAGAATGTGACCCTTTAAAGTTAAGAAGGATCTTACATTGTCACTTTCCTTAGGGATGTCCACTCCTGCTTTAAGAATCTGTTCTTTTGCTCTCTTCACTGGTACTTAAATAAATGCTGTATATAACTGAAGTTGCTACCTCCTTACCCATCCAC